AGAAGAGAAAAGAAAAGAAAAGAAAAGGTCGGTATCAGTTCTAAGATCTTAACTTCCTTTTATCAGACTACAAAAATCGATGAAATATTCATAGTGCTAATTTTTCCTTAATGGAATTGTCATTCTCGCTTTGGTAATTTCGTTATTTCTATGGTGAATCGGTTCGAGTTGCGAATAAATTTGAACTTGATTTTGAATCGGAACTTCGTCAATAAGGCGACCTTCTTTGCTTCATACTGGATGATATCATTACCCTAATATGTGCATTATACCGCTGTGGAAATTAACGATGCCAAATGTGTGAATATACGCGTAGGAACAAATCACAACTTTTGTTCGTGCTTAATGGAAACAATTTGCCTAAGATCCATTTATAGAACCTAATCAAACTTTTCATTCAAATTTGCTTCTCAACGAGCTAACTTTGTTTTATAATCTTAATCTTTTTGCAGCGATAGCGCTACAGATCAAAGAGATACCAAAGTGTCACATTTTGCTCATCACTAAGGATTGAAGACTGTTGAACGAGAAATTAACCAAGTGAAAGGAAACTGAACAACTATATGAAACCACTGGTGATGCATTGTACAGGATATAAAGAAACTTTAATTAAGCAGAGTTGGATATTATAGTTTGATTCGTGGTAAAAGAAGACGAAGAAGAGAAGAGCACACTGATCTGGGAATAAACAGGAATATATTTTAAAAAGCAGAAATTCCCTCAAGATAAGTATCTTCGTTTAGATTGTGTACTGAAAAAAAATTCGTTATAAGATCTATTCTCTAAAAGGATTGTGGCAACAATTGAATTTATTCGTGTTTGGCCTCCAAGAAAAGCCCAATAGCCTGCAGCAAAATTCTACGAAGTGGTCTCAGTCTCTCTGAGTGATATCATAGAGATCATAGAGCAAGATATCAAAAACACCGTCTGATTTATCTACCTAGCTCTTGAGTTTCGAAGCCAAAAGGTACGTTTCACAGGAAAAAATATGAATGAAACAAACAGTGGAAATGTTGATTCCAACGCTAGTTTCAGATATCCCGTTCCGATACAGACAGCAGAAGCCATCATTTCTGCAACCTTCATCTGCGTTCTCATCATCTTTACTCTGTTAGCGAACATATTCGTGTGCTTCGCTACTCTCCGTTTCGACTGCATCCGTCCGCTTACTAACTACTTCATCGTCAATCTTTGTATTGCTGACATTCTAATCGCGGTCATCAGCATGCCAGTGTACGTTTTGGTCCAGGTTTACGGCAACAACGCAATTCAGATACTTCTTGGGGGAAAATTCCTAAGCTTTTGGGGATGTATGGATATATTTTGTGGAACGGCATCTATCCTTAGTCTAAGTTGTATAAGTGTTGACAGATACTTAGCAATAACCCGTCCATTAAAGTACGTGCGTTGCATGACTTGGAGAAGGGGGTTCGTCATGATTATTGCTGTTTGGTGTTACGCGGGAACCGTAGCGTTTTTAAGGCAACCTATGACTTACAACCAAAACCAAAGGAAAGGTAAGTTTTTCATTGAGCTAAGTAAAAAATTATGGCTTCCTTAAATAACATATCAAAAACAAGAAGTAAATTCCTTGTCTTAAGGAGGCTCGATACGGTTTTTCTTGAGCGCGCGTGGGCTCTACGTCCGATGACGTTAAACTTGGAAAAGGAAAATTTTATCCTCGAAAATTTTAATATTCGAAATGAAAAAAATCAAAAACTGTGCGGAGAGATTTCCTCAAATTTTAGATATGGCTTTGGTTTATGTTTTCGAAAACTCAAAGAAAATTTTTAAAAATTCTGTAAAAGGGAACTATTCCAAACAATTTTTTCTTCTTTTTTTTTACGAATTCCTTTTTACATATTTTTTTCCCTTTTTTCGCTAAAGAGAAGATTACGTTCAATGTTTAAATATTCCGGTTTTAAAAAAAATTCGTTTGGTTCCTGAATTAGGTTTTTTTTAATGAACATTTTTAATAGCATAACAAGGGTTCTGATGTTCCCATAGCTACTTCTTACGTCATTTTTTCGTGTTCATTGTGATCTTTGGTTTATGGTCTTTGTCTTTCCGAGTTGACTTGCTGTCATATCATAGCCATTTTGATTGTTTTATTTCATAATTATGAATATACAAAACACTTTCCAGCCTCCTTAATACTGGGCAAATGCTGAAATTAGGAAGTAAAATAGTAATGGTAAAAGGGTAAAGTATACACCGTGAAAAGATGAAAAAACTACTGACGTTTCGGACGCTAGTCCTTCGTCGGAGTAAAAGAGAAAGAGTTGGTAGAAAGGAGTGATTATATAATGAGAATAAGACAAAAGAAACCAATGCATGAAAACAAGGTGGGCAAGGAAACAAAAACAAACAAGCAAAAGACAAAAGAATGGGTTAGTTGAAAGCAAAGCGTTGGAGCTAAGAGTGCCCAATAGGTAAATAAGCCGCATTTTAAGTAGTGTCGATTTTTTTGTAATAATGGAGTGTATCGTCACTGCATCTCTTTAATATTCTATTATTTCTATTATATATTCTTTTAGATTTGATTGCAATATTAGGTCTTTGGCAAACAGCACTTCAAAACCTTCAATTCATTTCAATCAGCACGTTTTGTCTTTTTGTATTTTATCAGTATTAAAATACTGGAAAAATGCTAAACACAATGTTAAAATAAGCCTGGTTTGTTTCTTGATGCTTGAGTTTTTTCTTTTATGATGGTAATTGCTGCGTTTTTAATCACCCATCAATTCTCGTGGTGGTAAAAATACACATGACTACCATTGTAATCGCTTCAAGGCGCAAGTACACAGATCAATTTTCTCTGCAACTTGTGTTGAAACGGCGCCGGTTGCGACACAAGTTGCATGGAGCACTGCAGCGTGTAATCTAGAGCTTAATTAGAAAAATGTTGCGATAGAAGTTTCAGCAATTGTTGCGAAAAGTAGAATTCGTTTCTACTTTTGGCAACGATTGAGTCTCCGTTGCACTGTGTAGACACTCGTGCAGCTTGTGCCGAAACGCCGTTGCCAGACAAGTTGCAGAGGAAATTGCTCCGTGTAATCAAGCTTTAACTCTAATGACAAGTTCCTTTAGAAAAATGTTGCGAGACAAGTTGAAGAGAAAATTGCTTCGTGTAATCAAGCCTTAACTCCCTTAAGTTCCTTTAATATAAAAGAAAGGAAGAATAGAAAGGGTAAGAAACGCAAAAGTCAAACCCAAGTAAATAAAACACCCAAAGGCCTGTGTGTTCCTCGTCGGCTTAGTAATAAGCTAATATTATTTTATTGATATTATTAATTTTAGTTTACGCCTTGTTTGTGTTCGCCGCAAGTTTCCTCCTCCCATTAATCGTCATCGTGGTTTCCTACAGCAAGATTTTCTGCGTTGCACAGAAGCACGCACGGGACATTGTCAGAAGATCGAGTATTTCCCAGGAGGAAAAGTTCAAACGAGTCTCACGTGACCTTAAAGCTGCCAAGACCATTTCCGTCGTGATAGGAACATTTGTGTGTTTTTGGGCTCCATTCATAGTGGTCAGTGTGTGCTACTCGTTTAATGTGTGGGTGGACTTTATCTTTGCTAACATTGTTAAATGGTTGGCATACATTAATGCGTTGCTTAATCCTCTGGTATATTCCTGTGTGGACAAGCAGCTACGAAGTCTGGTCATTAAGATCGTGGTCTGCAAAGGAAGACGTGATGAAGAGGCCCAAATGCCCTTGCGCGCAGTTTGAGTCGTGTTTCAAGGACAAGTGTGGTCCATGTATCGTGATTCAAGTCAACAGATTCACTGATACTTGAGACAATAACGAGTCATACGTTATTGCATGCAATATCATAGCGACAAAGGGCTTGGAATAGATGGGACGGTATTTGTACCCGTTGAGTGTAAGTTCCTAGTGCATCATTGTCATTTGTACTCAAGTTTTATCAAGACTTATCATATAATAGCAATAGCAATAGCAAAAAAAGCGTAAAGCGTAAAGAACATGCCAGCCGTTCAACAGCTCTTCAGGACAGCGTACAATACTTGGTAACGATACAGATAAAAGCTGATGAATCAGGTGTGAGGTGATCAAGGGCGACTAGAAAATTCAAACCCGCCTCGAGAACTTGCTTCAGCAATATAGTCATAACGTTCGTATTCAATGTTCCAAACTTCCTCGCAGATAAAATTTCATTCATCCTACGAGGCCAAGCCACGAATTTATGAGTACAGTTTTCCCTCTTTTTACAGATCAAAAAGCTGTTTGCAAAACAAGAACTTTGGTCCAACTTTCTTTTTTGAGAAATGAACCTCTATATATATTGTAGGAAGTATTCTATGTAGGAGCAGGCGTAGGTCAGTTGGTCCACGGTTTGATCCTCTGGAACTCCACGTCTGTTTCAACTTCCATCTAATCTGCATCTAATCTGCGTTCTTTCAGCTTTGAACACTCTTAAAACGGAGCACCAATGGAGAGAGGAGGTAAAGTGCGCACCGTTAACTTCAGGAGATAACCAGCCAACGTAGGTGAAGGAATTAAGGACGTTAAACATGAATACTTTACCTTTGCCTGGATGATGCATTCTGATTGGCTGCCAAAAATTTATATGTAACTTTAATTGCTAATAACTGAATACAATATCCTTATGCTTTACAAATCGCTGCTGCTATATTATGTCGCGTAGGATGCAATTGCATCTCAAGAGAAGTAGCATGCCAGTATAGCAGCCGTCTGCATGTATTGCTATGTTTCAATCAACTGATAAAACTCTTTGAATCCCATTCTCTGCTTCAAATGGTAGCAAATACTGACCAACATTAGCTGTCAGCCACAAAGAATCCTATCGAAAGCTTGTGATTCAGTTAATGAACATTCCACACGAGACAAGAAATGACGTCAAGTGCCCCAGCCATCCGCAAAAAAACTTCATTTTCGTATTACAAACAGGATATTAATCAGAACGCATGCGCTGTTTATAAAATGGTTTCAAGACGAAGGAAGTTGGATGATGTTTATGGATTTTAAGTACTTAAAATCAATCAAGCCTGCGGTCCTCAACTTGGAACCTTTCACTCAAGTAAATTCGGAAAAGAACTATTTTAGGATTTTTTAAGTAATGGCTCACTTACTTTAACATTTAATTCAAACAACGGGGTTGGGATTTGTCTGTATAGCAATGAAAGGAGTTCGGGGGAGGGGAGGGAAGAGGGATGAAAATCACTCGATCCCAGCCCCCGTCTCCATTTGCCGATTTTCCAGACGAAATTTTGAATTTGTTTGAGTTGTATCTATATCCATGCGTCCTCTCATTTGTAAACATTAAACAAAGAATGATACGAGGTCTGAAATGGCAAAACATTACGATCAAGCTAATTAGGTCTATTGATTTAAGCGAAAATTAAAAAGGAAGTTAAAGTAGTTGTAATAAAAAAACGCACAAAAACATGCAAAACTTACCGAATACGTGCATTTATTCCCCGATCACGTGTTTTTGTGTCACGTCCTTCACGTGACGTGCTCTCGTCCAATAGAAAGTGAGTTTGACCAGGAGAGGTCTACCAATTTGTTCTTGTTTTCTTACATTCATATATTAACGTATACATGCAACACTTAATTGCAAAATCAAAGTGGAGTTCAAAACATGGAATATAGATACTGAGACCGAAGGCATTCTGAGAAATGACATAACTCTCCTCAGATTTAATTATCAATTTGACATGTTACGAAAAGTGTTAAAAGTCCTAATACTTTCTATCAGTGCAGGCGCGGATCCAGGATTTTCAAAAGGGATTTTCAAAAGGCTTGAGCATTTATTGAGGTCGGTGCATGATCTCCCAGGAATTTTCGAATTTTAGACCCACAGAAATGCAATTTTTAAAGCATTTAAAAATATTAAAAATTATTATTTCTCATCAATCATTTCCCTTTTGCACATACCCCCCCCCCCCCCCCACAACATAACAATTAACAACGTAATTATGAAATTTGAAGACATAACTGCTCAGAAAAGGGGGGGTGAAAATTCACCCAATTCACCCCCCTGAATCCGCCCCTGCAGTGCAACTATTTAAGAACATTCCACGAGTTGTATCACTAGAAACATCAAATTAACATAATTCCCATGTTCCATATTGGTCTCAGCTTCTATGTTCTGTGTTCTAAATCCGACAACGATTTTTGCAACTCAGTGTATATCTTCTCAAGCGTTACCAGAAAGCAAAGGAATCATCCTAAAGCATCTGCAACTATCGAAAGTTCTGTCAACTTTAGATATAACTAACAAATAAACCAACACAATATAGCCACAATAACACAAGAAATACGTTAAAGCTGCGAGTGATTTTCCTTACATGGCCCGTGAAACAAAGTCGTGTAATAAGTGAGTTGTAAGGAACTTTTAATTCAAGCAATGGACTTAGTGTTTATATACTACTATCATACTATGTATTAGGTCTAGTATTTTGTGAAATTACTCTAGCAAAGATGTCAAATATGTTATGAATAAATCAACCTTAAACTTGCAACCCAGAATAGATACTTTTTTGCACAAGTGTTTGGATGCTTTCATATATCCGGAAATAAAACATCAAATATGTAAATTTAAAAATGGCTTTCCCACAATCCTTTGAGTTGTATAAATCAATCCAATACTCTCTGCGGACATTCGTTCCAAACAACTCCAATGTACAGTACAAATGCCATACCGATATCCACTCTCATGGACAACAGTCATTTTCGATCCGAAGTCATCTCTTGTGAAGTCGTCTCTCAAATTTCCCCAGGCACCTTTAATTTCAATGCTCGTCTTCTCCCTGTCAGGGTGACTAGGTACCGAATGAGTCGTATACGTACCGAATGTGTCAACCTAAGTTTTAGGCCCAATGGGTTGTTTGTCGTTTTACGTCACGTTTCTTAGCAACGAACTGATTATAAAATGAAATTATGAAATTAGGGCTAAAAATATCAATAATGAATTATCGTCCCTTGTGATGACTCCCACAATGACACCAGGGGAAAACGTTTGCGCATGCATGCACTTTAGCACGTATTCTAAGAATTTGGAAGAGTTTGAGGGAGAAAATAAATGTTTGTTTTCTCCAAGTAAACAAAAAAGTTCGAGAGCATACTTTTGTCAGACCAAGATACTGTATTAACGAACACAATATGAAAGAATTACCCTTAAGTTTCAAGCATGGACACTAATTTTGGCATTTTGTGAAGTCCAATTTATCAGGCATGTTTGAAAGTCAAATTTACTTATGTTTTGAATAATTTGCATACGGATTCAGAGCATGCGCAGATGTTTTTCACTCGTGTCTCCCACAATGCCTTATTTTCCGATTTTTAAGTCAGATTTATTGTTTTGGAATTAGATATTAATAAATTGAAATTTTACGTCATGCACACACGGAAAATAGAGCACTGGGATTCATTACAAAGACCTATAGCATTTCTGGATTCATTATTCAAGGCTCTTATGAACACACTCAATGTACACCCACAAGACTTTATGATTAACACTACAAGGGCTTGCTTTAACATGATTTATTATGCTTTCAAGAATTGCTTTTAGATTGATTAAAGTAGTCGTTATGTCAACTAAATTGGGAAAACGCCGTAAAAAAAAAAAGCGAAAGACGCAGAGATATTGAGCTTACTGCACTGCTAATCTAGACTTTGTGTATTTAAAAAACGACTTAATAATGATGTTGAATTTCTTATTTTAGCTTTTCCTTTCTTCTTAAACCTTTGTGTTGTTACTGATAGCGAATTCTTTTTTATTTTTTATTTTTTATTTTTTATATTTTATCAATATCTATAAGATATTATTATTCTTAAATATGATGCTTAAAAATGGTTTGTACGGTTTTTTTTTTTTCATCCTTTCTAGTATTCAATATTTAATATCTAGAGAAGTTTTTAATTTATTAGACCACGAAGTGACTGATCTTCAGGTTGTCTAGTCTTCAATCTTTTGTACTTCAAATTCATTTGACATACATGGCAGAACACATATAAAGATATCTCTTATCAGAAACGTTAATTAATATCCCCAGTAATAAATGAACAACTATATACTAATGCATTTCATCTACTAGGCCCCTGGTGACTTACACTTTTTTAGTGAGTTTAGACTGGGGGCTTTTGTCATTAGAAGCGGAGCCTTATTAGAAGCTAGAAGCTCAAAAGAGGAAATACGGTAGTTTGGGTCCAAAATAATATATTTAATGATTAGTAGATGTTAAATGCGGTATATTGAAAAATATACTAGTCGTTACAGGTTCTTTGGAACAAGCCTTTCTGAGTTGGTGCAACTGAAAGACCAGTTGCAAAAGGTTAGTACAGATTTCTCCTATGCGTACGGTTTTATAAATCAGATCAGATCAGATCAGTACTAATGAATAGGCAACCATTCGATGTCTTAAAGTTTACACTTGATTTTGAAAAAAAAAACTTGTCATCGCTTATCACCACCGCAAATACAACAAGCTTTAGTTGGAATGCATTGTACTTCATGTTTAGTATACACACGTGGGTCGCCAGATGCGCACTGAGTCATTACTATATCTAACTGGTCTACTGATTTGAAACAAGCAATAGACGCAATATTTCAAACCAAGAATGGCAATTTTTTGTCTACCAAATAGCGAAAGCAAGGAAAAGTAAACGACCTAGTAAAGGGTGTTTTTAAACCCAGTTTTTTTGAGAGTGGTCTATTTAACCTTGACCAATCCTATCACCGTCACTATCATTTCATAACACTGATTGATTTTTACTTGGGCTTTCAAAGAAATGCCCGAGGTATAAATTGGGCTTTATTAACGTTCTGTCACAAGTCGCAGTTGTGTTCAAAGCGCATGCGCACATAAGCACATGGTCGAGCAATGGCGGAATTTTTCAAGGTTTGGTCAGAAGGATGACAGTGTTCACGAAGAATTCTTTTGATGTTCTGCTATGAAGCCCGAGTTCACGCAGATATGCGTCTAGTTCATTAGAATTTTGAAGTGTTCTGTCATGCAGATACATAAATCGTCATGACAAATGTCAAATGTAGGATTCTTCCTCGAGGACGGTACGAGTGGGTCTTGAGGGTCTCTGACATGACGTTGTCACGCTGAAGATAAACCTTTATTTTTGACATTTTATGCGCAGTTTTCTAAAGCTGTGGACGCCGGACTGAACTTCGGGTTTTGCGCATGAAGGTGATTTTTGGATTCGCAACAGTAAAAGACGTTGTTCCCCAAAAGTGAATCCGGAGGGTGGGGGAATGGGGGTGGGTGACTTGTCATCTCCCTTTAGTTGAAAAACTAAAAAACATATGAGCTGACCTAAATAAAGGACACTGTGAAATTGTTTAAATGCATGCAGGGATTTTTATTTTTAGATTTATGCTATCTGTGTATTTGAACCTTCAAGTTTTCGCCATATATATCCACCCCTGTTGTAACACCTGTACTCAGCATCATATGTGAGTAGAGTTTGTTAGGTCTCTCCTTGAATTCGAGGGTTTTCTCCGTGTTCTCTAGTTTTCCTCCCTCCACAAAACTTATCTAACAGAGATCCATGGAATATCCTCATATGTAATCTCATCATTCCTTGTTTGATCAATACAGTCGTTGATCTGATAAATAAAATCAATGTTAACTTTTTGGTTAACTTTTTTCTTTCTTTTTCTTTTCTTTCTTTCTTCCTTCCTTTTTGTCTTTTTTTTTTTTTTTTTTTTTTTTTCTTCTTCTTCTTCTTCTTTTTTATTATTATTATTATTATTATTATTATTATTATTATCAAAATATCTTGACAGCATCGAGAATCAATCCTACAAACAAACCACGACCACTTCGTTTTTGCTGTCAGCGTAGTGCCTAGATACATGATGTCAGAAAGTAGATTATTATTTTCTCTTTCGATTGTTCGGGAGGTTATGACGTCATACGTGATAATACCTTGACGTATTACGATAGAAAAGACTGTAAAACTGAGTTGATATGAATGTTAATCGCATTTGTGAACTTTATTGACACACAGCTCGATGTTATGCTTTTGGTCGTGTATTTTCATTCGTACCTATCAATCCTTTCGATGTCCTTTTAAATATCTATCTAAATATTTTCGTAGAATGACCTGTTTGACCTCTCCCGGAAATGATTCTGAATCTCAATAAATATTAATCCGACGCCGCCAATCCGACGCTAGCTTCACTTCGGTGTAATTGCTCGTCAGGAAATCTTGTAATTATTTCAAAGTACAAATACGCCTGCGCTTAAGCAAAAACCAGATTCAATGTACAAACAGGAGTACAGCTTGTTTACAGCTTGGAAACAAAACCCATACGCAAATACTTAAGTTAATATTTCTATTTCTCTCGCCTGTTTAATACTCTTTCTTTTCTGAAATAGGTCCTGGACAACTTAAAGCATTACTGCTTTTATTGATTTTTAATTCAGGTAAGCTAAAGCAAAAACTATTAACTTTATTAAATTATTAATAATTGATTATTGAACATACTGTTTTTATTTATTTGGTAGGGTGGGGGGGGGGGGGTACTAAAAATGTTTTCTCTTTCTCACGAAAAACCCGTGTGATACGACTAAAGCAAGAACTACTTTATTGATTTTTAATTCAAGTTAGTTAAAGCAAGAACTT